TCTCTCTCATTTTCTATGGGCTGGACAGGTGCTCTTGACCCCCTCCCCGAAAGCCCCTCCCAGCTGAGGCAGAAGGGGACAGAAGCTGTACACGGCTAACAGCAGGTCATAAGCTGAAAATGTAAAAAGAAAGGAAGCCCTTGTCATAAATTTTTTCCAGCTACTTACAAATGATCTCTTCCTCTACGGCGAATGCCCTGCTTGCTTTCAGCTGAAAGCAACCAGACTGGCTAGAGGAAGAAGTAGGAAACAGACCAGAACTTGACCACTGATCCCCACGTCACTGGCAAGTTCACTGCTCTTTGGTAAGTAGAGTAAGAATCCTCAAGGTGAATAAAGGTCGCCAGGAGGAGTCACACGTTCCCATCATGGCCTCCCCAAGCCCTTCGATCTCAAAGTGCACACACCAGGAGGAAACCACATAGTTTCTTCACTCGCAAGAGGCTTGCCCGTGTCTGAGGATTCATTACTGGATTGCCCTTGTTCAGAAATGTAGACGAAAACAAGATTGGTTTTAGTCCGGTGCTTTAAAGTTGAGTGGATCACACCCCCCCCCCGCCGCCTCGCTTCATCTGTATTACAACTTTAATGCTACAAGTTTGATATTTTTGTCCGTTTCCGTGGTGTATTTCTTTCTGTAGTAGTTCTCCGAATTGTAAGCTGTAACTGTATATATAACACCAGTGTTCTTGGAGATAAGGTGCTAGATATTAGATCATATGTGTTCGTAGATAGTGTCATACCCCAAAATGGGTAGTAGGTACATGTGAAGTTAATCACGTGCATGCAGACTTCTGTGTGTGACCCACACCTTGGTCAGTTTCTGAAGTAGAAAATAGTACATTCGTCTGTAAAATTTCATTTTTGACGTGTATACTGCAGGCTGTATAATATGGCTCCAAGGTGGGGTAGCAGGTAACGGTGCCTTTAATCCCTCAAACCCCTGGTACAGTCTGTGACAGGTGAGAGCTTATTCTGGTACAATTGGCCATTAATGCGAATTAATCGTCTTGGCTGAAGTCCCTGCTGGCAATTCTCCACGGCGCTCTTGGCACTGGTATGCCTGTTGTCCACTAGTTGAAGGTATAGAATGCAAAATCAAAAAAAGACAATCCTTTCCCCCTCAAAGAGCAAAGACCCCCCCCCCGATGGGCTATTGGAGTCCTGTTAGCGGGATAAGAAAAAAAAACCTGTCATCTCAAGACCCAGCCAGTACCTGACTGAACTGACATGATTTGCATTTAGTGGGTCTATATTGTGCCCTCCCCCGCCCCCCCCTTCAGAGCAGTGCCCAAAGCAGAAAAAGGCTGCTCTGTTTTTTTTCTTTGATCGGTCACCTGGGAGATAAGACAGAGCACAGATGGGTAAATAAAGTAGTGGGACTCCTCCAGGGGTCGCAGCTAAGGTGTTTGGGAACGTTACAATTGCGGATCAACAGCATTTGCGTCAGACAAAAAGAGAGAATTACAATTTTATTAGATTTTAAGAACAAAAATAGTAAAACTAGAAACCTATGTATATATGGATACCCTCACCGAGTAATTTCTAAAACTGCCTTTAATACCAAATTGTATGTGCTGCTTTGAGACTGAAAACAATAGAAATATTCACTCAACAGACAGGTCTCCTTAGTATTTTAAATTTTGAATTTACAATTTTCCTTTTCCTTTAAAAAAAATTTGTAATTCAAAAGTGCCTTTTCAAAGGATTGCCAAACGACAATCCTGGGGCCAGGTTCCCATTGGCACAACTTACCTTCGGTGCACAAAAGGGGTGGGGCTTTATCCTCCTCCCTCCCCCCCCCCAGCAAGAAGAGAAACCCCTTCACACCCCAGTCAAATTCATAAATCAATACTGTTACACGGACCAGTAGTCTCAGAGACTCTGCCCAAGGACAAGGTTTCATATATTCGTTGGCTTTAATTGGATCCTTTCTAAAATGGTTACAATGCATTTTTTTTTGCTGGACAGGAATAATGGACTCCTGCTTGGGGAAGGCGGAGAGATTGATGTTCGTGGCTTAACTAAATATTATTGAGTAATGTTTGTGTTTCTTAATAGGTGCTGTTAATCTGTCCTTGGTATTCTTCTTAAATATGCTAAATAAAGTCTAATTTTAATGTGCGTACCTGGTTATTATGTGGGAAAACAGCGAGGAAGACACACAACTGGGCGCCCATGCCTTCTCTTTTGCTGGAAGGGAAGAGACGGGATAAACTAACTGCATTACGTGGTAGAATGAAAGATACAGGCTCTAAGATTTCACATTGTCCTTTCCCAGTATAAGAACGATGCAATGGGATGAGGGAGCCATGCTGACGGCCTTGTTGGAAGAAGGCTGTGTGCCTAGTCCTCTATGAATGAAAAGGATGTCAAAGTGAGGGTGGGGTGGGCAGAGTGGAGAAAGGGCCGGGTGTCTTCGGGGTCACCAGTGTCAGTCTGTATTCCCCACGCAGTGAGGTTTGAGCAAGGAGAGGGAAGGGACTAGTCTTCGTTTTCAGGAAACAGTACTGCCCAGCACCCGGCTCACCCCCACTGGGCCCCTGCCCCCGGTGCCCCGCTAGTCGGGACCGGGACGCCTCCGTGGCACAAGCCGGTCACAGCCGCCGCACCTCAGCCCCAGCTCACCAAGGTTTGCGGAACAGGAAGGCAAGTGCCTTTTCTCGGGAGCCCCGGGGCGAGACAATGGTTAAACCTCAAACACCAACCATGACATATGTACACACAGGACACAGACGAAATAGTCAAATATGTCTAAACCTTAAGAGCCCACTAGTTCCTCTGGAGTTGATGCGCTCGACCTTCCAGTAGCTCTGGCAGCTCATCAGCAGTAGTTCAAGGAATTGCATGCCTCGTGCCTCCCGAGTGGCATTCACGGCCCCCGCTCAGAGGTTCAGGGAGCGATTCAGCTCCGTTTCAATCAAAGTAAAGTGCTCTTCCCTGCTTTTCACTCCAAAATCAAGCTAAATACTGACTTACACACTGGATTTCAAGATGTTCAAAGATGGCTGCCGTGAGACCTGCACGTGGCTGCCTTCACCTCAACCCGTGAATGCCCCCTAGGCGGTAACGTTTTCCTGCTGCCAAAATAAATTTGCCTTTCTTTCTCTTTTTAACACGTATTAGTGAAGCATCGTTGACATAGGATGTTATATTAGTTTCATGTGTGCAATACAGTGATTCAACGATTCTGTGCATTACTCAGTGCCCACCACAGTGGGTATAGTCCCCGTCGGTCACCATACAACATTATTACAATATTATTGATTGTATTCTCTTTGCTGCACTTTTCATGTCTGTGACTTCCTTATTTTATACCTGGAAGGGCGTACCTCTTAATCCCCTTTACCTACTTTGCCCATCACCCCCACACCCCTCCCCTCTGGCAACCACCAGTTTCTTCTCTGCGTCTATGAGTCTGTTTCTGTTTTATCTGTTCCTGTGTTTTGTTTTTTTGATTCCATATATGAGTGAAATCCTGTGGTATTTGTCTTCCTCTGTCTGACTTATGTCACGTAGCGTAATACCCTCTAGGTCCATCCATGCGTCACCAATGGCAAGATCTCATTCTTTTAATAAATTTGCCTTTCAAGCAAACTACTACCGTGAATGCGAGTAGGAGGGTTTGTGAGCTTAGATAAAACTATCAAGCAGCCAACCCGGCGGGAGAAGAGTCCCCGAAGCTCCCTGTAACAACTGCTTAGTTCAAAGTATCTGGAGAATGGAATGGGTTCCAACGAATCTCGTAACCGCGCTTACTCCTCTCAGGCACAGGCCTCAGCCTAAGATTTTGAGACCGAATGGGAGGAAGTGGAGAGAATCTGAAAATTCCACTGTCGAGAGATACCTCTGACCTTCTGTAGCCACTCCCTCTCTCACCAGTCGGCTCCAGGTCCCAGGCCTATTTACCACCAGTCAGAGCCCTGATCCTTCAATGTAGACAAAGGCATCCTACTGGCTAAGGCATTACTTTCTTCCGTGAGGAAACTAGTCAACTTCCACTGTCTCCCACCCCCTTAACCCCCCACCTTCAGAATGCAACTCTCTGACCCTGTCCTTCCTCATTTCAACCTCCCCTTCAAGGGTAACCCAACTTCTCTGATCACCCCCCACACACACAAACAAATACTCCTCAGCTTAAAGTCGGCTTTGAGAATGTTCACGAATTGAAGCGTATGTGTACATAGTTTTCAGACGTTTTCCCCAGTGAGGCCAATATTTATCAATAAAACGTATCACAGGAAATGTCTGATTTTCATGACTGCTCCCCGAAAACGGCAAGCTTGGAGAATATTTGCCACACAAATTCCTGACATTTAGGGAGTTATGACTCCTGACTATTGTTTAGTCAAAGCAAATACCTCCAAGAAAATTGAGGCCCAAGATTTTCCATCTAACACACAGCTAAGTCAAACTTGAACATTCTCAACCTCCAAAAGACAGCAAACAGAAAAAGACAACCAGTAACCAGAAATGTGCAGATTTAATTGAGGAATAAGACCGCGGTATGTGGTATTTCATGAACTCTGTATGCTAACCCAATGTGCATTTTTAAAATGGTCATCCCCGGGGCACCCGGTTGGCTTAGTCGGTAGAGCACGTGACTCTGGGTCATGAGTTCAGACCCCACAGTGGGCGTAGAGCTTAATAAATAAAGAAATAGATAAATAAATAAAATGATCGAATGCAAGTTGTACAATTCACTTTTGTTAGAAAAATTCACATTTTATCTAAGATTCAGTTGTCAATGGTTTTGATGCTATAAATAAAATGAGGAAGAAAAAGGAAAAAGGAAAAAAAATAATTTCATCTGAAAAGCCAGTGTGCTCAGCTACATTTTGTAAAGAATTGCACCTCCCTTGCTCTAATTGTTTTCAATTAAACCTTTTCATGGAATCTTTTCAGAGCAGTCTGACTTAGAATAAACCTGTTTCCCAACCTGTTTTCTCTGCATAATCGGTATTTTGTGTCACACAAACGGAAGCCAGACAATGAGATTCTTAAGTGATGTATATTTAAAATGTGTACCAGGAAGCACATCTATAGATCTTCATAGGTGTTCATGTAGATGTAAATGGACACATTCGAAAGCCATGGTGATGTGCCCGGAGGCCTTTGGGGACAGTCTTTAATCCACTTTCACCACGCTGTAGATTTTCATAACAAACCAAAAGCAGGAAAAAAAACCCAATTGTCCCTGAAAGAAAATGAAGAAAGATCCTTGTTAACCAGACGCTATTGCAAATCAAAGTAGCTTTCTCAAAAACGCAAAACATGTCAGGGTTGAGGCGGGCCACTGATTCTCCAAGTCCCAAGACTCACACATTATCAAATAAGAAAATCGCCCGGCTCTCTTGCTGAGCAAAGAGGATGAGCTGCAAGGCTGAAGGCAGCCACCTGCAACACGGTGTGAGAATACATTTGATTGAACGCTGCAGGTCTCTAACCAAAGAAAAAAAAAAAAAAAAAATGAGTAGCTTAAGTTCTCTATTTCAAAAAGGATACCAAGGGGTCCAAGGCTCATTTCTAATATAATAAGCTTCGTATTACTTGCTTCGATTTAGAAAATGTAAATAACCGTTATTGTTTTATGTAACAAAAGCAGCCATAATCTATTATGTACTTACATACTCTGGACATATGTTAATTTTGTATGTCAAAGTTTTGTCTTATTAAACTTGAGAGATATCCCATTTCTGGGGGCTAATCCTAAAGAAATGACCCCATAGAAGAAAAAAAAAATTGCACGCAAAAAAGGTGTTCATCATACTACGATTTATAATATTGAAAACTTAAAAACAAACCAAAAGCCCTCAAATAGGTGACTTAGCTAAATGCTGAACTAACTGCTCAATGAGATAAGACAGTCATCAAAAGTGCCTGGGTGGCTCAGTCGGTTAAGCATCCCACTCTTGATTTTGGCTCAGGTCATGATCTCACAGTTTGTGAGATCAAGTCCTGCCTCGGGCTTTGTGGTAACAACGCAGAGCCTGCTTACGATTCCCTCTCTTTCTACCCCTCCCCTGCTTGCTCCCTAGCTCTCTCTCTCTCTCTCTCAAAATAAATAAATAAACATTTTGAGGTGCCTGGGTGGCTCAGTCAGTTGGGCATCTGACTTCGGCTCAGGTCATGATCTCACGGTTCATGGGTTCGAGCCCCACGTCGGGCTCTGTGCTGACAGCCAGCTCAGAGCCTTGAGCCTGTTTCGGATTCTGTGTCTCCCTCTCTCTCTCTGCCCCCTCCCCAGCTCACGCTCTCTCTCTCTCTCTCTCTCTCTCTCTCTCTCTCTCTGTCTCCTCTCTCTCTCTCAGAAATAAATAAAACATTAAAAATTTTAAAAAAGCAAATAAATAAACATTTTTTAAAATGACAAATTTAAAGACTACACAGCAGCATGAGGCAATCTCTATAATGTGGTATTAGGTACGCCAGACCTTAACTTACCAGTCTGGACACAATATACACTTAAACCCATGGACTAGATAGAGCAGAGCATGGACCAAAGGAGAGACCTTTATATTTTCGGTGATACACTTCTGGGCAAATTCTTCTTTAATGTAGTATTTCATTGATGTTCATGTTATAAAAGCAATTCTCAGATACTAAGGTTCAATGACTCAATCAAAAAGAACTGTAATAGTTTTCTTTCCCAGATCCTATAATCTAATGGGGCACCGCAAGACAATTCGATCATCTAGGAAAACATCTTAAGCACAGAATTTGTTAGGCAGGATTTGGTCCCTTTTTCTTTGCCATTTTCCAAGCTCAGAATAACTTCCCGTCCAATATACTATCATGCCACTTCCCTCTCACCCTTCAAAGCTCCTTGTCAGCAGTCAGTATGTTATAGTGACGAAGATCAAGGGCAAGTGGCGCCTGGGTGGCTCAGTCAGTTGAGTGGATGACTTCAGCTCAGGTCATGAACTCACAGTCCGTGAGTTCGAGCCCCGCATCTGGCTCTGTGCTGACAGACCAGAGCCTGGAGCCTGCTTTGGATTCTGCATCTCCCTCTCTCTCTCTGCTCCTCCCTGGCTTGTGCTCCGTTTCTCTCTCTCAAAACTAAATAAATGTTAAAAAAAAAAAAAAAAAAGACCATGGGTTGTGGAGTGACATAAATCTACTCCATTGCTTACTAGCCGTCTGATCCTGAGCAAGTGACAATCTTGCCAAACCTCAGTTTCTCAGCTGAAAAATGGGATGCATGATACCTATTCCTACTTTAAGCTTCCTCTTCTGAATTCAGCACTTTAAAGGGTTTGGGAGACGGCAATGTGTAGCTAACACATGTCTCTGAATCTAAAACATTCCTGATTTCAATTTGCTGCGTGTTATCCTCATAAACGACTGAAATGTCTCTGAATGTTCAACTTTTCGGTGCTCTACTTACAATACCCCAATTTTCCCCTACCTGAAACTCAAATATCGATCAACCCTCACACTGTTCTGATAGTCAACCGCGCTAAGTCTGCTGGCTTTAGAATCAGGCGGACACTTAGCTATATGATATAGAGCAAGATATCTATGTCCTCTGCTCCTCCTAAGTGAAAAGGACTTATGTCCCCACTCAACAAACAGGCTTGACCTGAAAGAAAGAGGTAAGATGCATTGGGATGCTCATCAGAGTAGGCACTCAAGAAATGACAGCTATCATTCACGTTCTGATCGGAAATTTGAAAAATATGATCACATGGGGCTTATTTGACTAGTGTCGTAGTACTCAACATTGCCTGTACTCTGGAATCATCTGGGGAGATTTAACAACTACTCATGTCTGGGTCACAACCCCCAGAGATTCTGATTTAATTGATCTGGGATGCAATCTAAGGGTCAAGAGTTTTAAAACCTCCCCGGGGCGATTCTAACATGCCACCAGGGTCTCGGAACCTCTGGACTAGTGGGGTGTCTGGGGAGGGGAGCTCAGTCGGTGAAGCGTCCGACTTCAGCTCCGGTCATGATCTCATGGTTCATGAGTTCAAGCCCCTCATCGGGCTCTGTGCAGACAGCTCGGAGCCTGGAGCCTGCTTCGGATTCTGTGTCTCCCTCTCGCTCTGCCCTTCCCCTGCTCGCGCTCTGTCTCTCTCTTTCTCAAAAATAAATAAACACTGAAAGAAATTTTTACAAAAAAGAACCTTTAGACTAGCCTGCCTGCCTTCCTACGTTCCTTCGTTATTTGTAAGCAAACACAATTAAGTAGAAGGAGAGATGGGGAAATTTCTCCTCTAAGGGCCATTGAACCACACAGTTGAAAAATAACTTAAAGGAAAGATAGAGATGGGCCAAAACCAGCAAGTACGATCACTTCGGTGTCTGTCTACTTTTGCCTCAGGTCAGAGAAAGTACTAAACCAATACTAGGAATGTCCTAGTTTCTTTCTAAGCTTCATAACCTTCTATCATTAGGTCAAGGGGGTACATAACAAAAAGACAATCTAACCACAGAATCTTGATGAGGCACCCTGAGACAAGCAGAGAAGCCCATTTCCCCCCCTTGCCTTTTCTCCATTTGCAATCCTATAATGAAAAGAATTCACAACTGAATCCCGGGCCTGGTATCCAAGGCACATCTCCTCTAAGGCTTTCCCAAAGCAGTTATTATATATGCACACGTGAAAAAGAAGAAACTCACTAAATAAAACGTTTTGGAAGTCGATCACACTCTACTCAATATAACACATCTTTAAAGTGTCTTCTGACAGCTACGGTGGGGGCTAAGTTCCGATACACGTTAATTTCAGAATGCGCAGCAGTGAGTAAGCCATGCAGATAGAAGGTTTTCCTCAAGTTGGAATTAGGGCCGCTCGTTACACAAACGAACAAAGAGAAAGCTTGTTTGGAGAAAAGGGTTTTGAGGGGCCTTGACTCCCTTCAGCCACATTTGACCCAGTATTTATAAAGCACCTTCCCTGGGCCTGGCCCTTGCTGAGCAATGTGAAGGACAGAGCAGGGCTCTTGTAGGGACTGATCTCAGGTGGTGGCCGAATGCTACTATCTCTACTTACACAGCCATCACGCAAAACCCTTCTTCCTTTGTATCCACATCTTGTCAGGCACAAAGACCTGCCAATTCCAGCTACTTATGACCTTTTGAATCGCCCCCTCCATCCATCTGCCCAGATGCACAGCGACTGGGTCTGCACTCACATTCTCTTCATCTCTCATCTAGAAAACTCTCTCAGCTTGTTTCTACCTCCAGTCTCTCTCTCTCTCTCTCTCTCTCTCTCCCCCCCCACCCCACCCCCAAATCGATCTTCCACTCTGTGGAGTGATGGTGAGATTCTGAAAGCACAATTTTAATTATCATGTCTCTACTTAAAACCTTACATTTTTCCCCATAGCAGAAGTACTCAAACTCTCGAGTGTAAGAGAAACCTTTTAAGCTGTTAAAAATAAACATTAGCAAGGATTCTGATCCAGGGCTTCGTGATGGTCCATGAGCATCAGATGTATTGGTTTAAATTTTTTTTTAATGTTTATTTATGTTTGAGAGAGAAAGAGAGAGACAGAATGAACAGGGGAGAGGCAGAGAGAAAGAGAGACGCCAAATCCAAAGCAGGCTCCAGGCTCCAAGCTAACAGCACAGAGCCTGACGTGGGGCTCAAACCCACGAACCACGAAATCATGACCTGGGTCGAAATTGGACGCTTAACCGACGGAGCCACCCAGGCACCCCAGATATATTGGTTTCAAATAATTTCCGTGAATAAATGGGATGCACACTCACATTTGAAAACGACTTAAAAGTTCCAATTCCTTAGTGTCGGCACACGAAGCCCTCCAGACCTGGGCCCTAGCCTCCTTCTTTAGGACTTGCTATTGCCAATCCATGTCTTAAATTGCAGACTCCAGCAGCCCAAACTTACCTATAGATCTCTGCCTCTCATGCCTTGCTCAGCCTGTCAATTCCACCTTCACCCTATTAAGACTCCATCTTCCCTCAAGACTCCATTCTATCACTTTCTCCAGCAAAATTTTTTCTGACCTCCTTCGTCCCCACCCCAGGCCTGGGCTGGGAGCCCCTGTTTGGGGCTTTCACAAAACCCTGGGCTTCACTCTATTAGGCTCCTTGCCGCAATGCATGGAAATGATCTCTTTAGAGGTCTTCTCTTCTCCAGACTGTAGCCGTGAGGCTAGGGCTTAAGCCTTACTTAGGTTTGTGCTCCCAGTGCTTAACATAGTGCTGAGCACGTTGGAGGCAGAC